AGTAGGAGTACTAGGAGTTAAATGAGCCGCAGTTTCCGGTCCATGGATTACGCGAAGGGCATTCCAGTGTACTACATCAACTAGTATAGCATTGACTTCAACAAAACATAGACATTTCCATAAAACATGTGCTTCGGGAGATAATCATTCCTCAAATTTCTTGGCAAAAGCAGCCACAAAAAGATTGAGACCATATTTAAGAATTTTTTCTTGTTATAGCTCGATAATTGGACTTGGACTATTCCCAAACAAAGAATATCTTGTTTCTTAATATTTGATTCCATCCATTGCACAATTCATTGTTAAACCGTGCCAAAAAAAAAACCATGGTTTACCAAATGAGCTGCCAGCACGTTTTCAGACATTTAAAGATTTAACAAACTTTTTTTTTGACCAAGTGTTACAAGATAACATTATACAAATATGGTAACCATTTCTTATAATTTAAAAACTCCTCTCTTGACTTGAGATGCCATAAGTTCGTGAGGGTCACGTAGACACTATCAATTATTCTAAAGCCTTAAACTATATAAAGGCCATACACTTTGAAGTCAATTAGGCAATTCTCTTTGTACAGTAATTTACAACTTTGAGCATAGTTTAGGCCAACAACCATGGCAGATCTTCATTCATGGTGATTCAGCTTCTTCTTGGTAATGGCGGTAGTAGGCAACGCAACCGCAGCGTATTATGCACCCGTATTTCGTCCTACAGCATGGAAACAAGCCTATGCCACGTTTTATGGCGATGAAACTGCTGCCGAGACAATGGGTACGTGACAAATTATTTTTCGAACTTATTAGGTGCTAGTGTGATATTGTTTTGTGACATACACTATCCGTTTTATTGGTCTAGAGGCCAAAGGGCCGTGTCCTTTTTCTTTCCCTTCTAAATATAGGCTTTCATGTACTGGCTACGGCCCCCTATAGCTAAAGTCATGTAGGCTTGGCTCTAGAAGCAGGCTGTCTCATGCGTCGAACCTTGCCATCCCTTGACCGGACTTCTGGCGCGCACGGCTGTTTAGGCCTAGGCGGAACGACAAAGATTTATTAGTCTCCTAGTCTAATATGCAAAAGTGTAATATAGTCCATTACTTTGGCGTCCACAGGTGGAGCATGTGGGTATGGAAATTTGTTCAACAGTGGTTACGGTACCGCGACGGCCGCGTTGAGCTCCGTACTATTCAACAATGGTTACGGATGCGGCCAATGCTTCCAAATACGGTGCGTTAAGTCGCAATTGTGCTACAGAGGCTCGCCAATCACCACCATCACCGCCACAAACCTCTGCCCTCCCAACTGGGCTAAGGACTCGAATAACGGTGGCTGGTGCAACCCACCTCGGACACATTTCGACATGTCCAAGCCTGCATTCATGAAAATTGCACAGTGGAAGGCTGGTATTGTACCTGTCATGTTCCGCAGGTATAATTTTACTTTTTCATCAAATTATGATTAGAATTCTTTAGATTGATATCTTATGATTGCCCATTTACATCCTTGGAAAATCACATAATTCTTAAATTATAATTAACCACTACAACAATAGAAAAAATGTCAAATTGCAAAAAGGTAATATGCTATTGGAATACATATATAGAAAATATCTTGGCTGAAACAAACAATAAATTAAGATTTATTCTCGATAAATTTGAGATTGGCTACCAGAATCCTTTCTCTATTCTGTTCAAATCAGAACGCCAAATGCTACTAAATCTTTCACAACAATAAGTCATATTAATTTCGATGCACCACTTCTTTTTATATTTTCTACCAAGATCGTATAACACTTGTACACACAAGCTACATTATCTCTAACAACATGCTCACCGCTTCAAATTCTTGTTGTAGAGTGCCATGTGTTAGGAAAGGCGGCCTTCGATTCACCTTCCAAGGAAACGGCTATTGGCTGCTCGTGTACGTGATGAATGTTGCCGGGGGCGGAGATATCGCACAAATGTGGGTTAAGGGAAGCAAGACAGGGTGGATAAGCATGAGCCACAACTGGGGGGCTTCATATCAAGCATTTTCAACTCTTGGAGGCCAAGCCCTTTCTTTCAAGTTAACTTCATACACATCCCATGAGACCATTATTGCATGGAATGTTGCCCCTTCCAATTGGCAAGTAGGGTTGACTTATAGTGGTAATGTCAACTTCCATTGAGATATATACATGTAATGCAAGAGTCTA